GAGAGAGAGAGAGAGATAGAGAGAGGGAAGCATGAGTAAGAGGGTGGGTTGTCGGCAAGGCAGGGAACAACAAAGCAAAATAGTTCAAATAAAACAAAAACAAAACAAACCAAAGTAAAAAATAATGACGATAAGAGAAACAAAACTGTAATGAACCTATCACAGTTTACAGTATAAAGAGGAGTTTCAGCACAACATCCCTGTCATCCAAAATAAGAAGTGGCAATCATACGGACTATTTTCAAACACCGATTTCTTAGCAATTAATGGTCATATCGGCGTATAAGAAAGGTAGCCAAAGATATAAAACATTTTTACTCCCAGATTTTGACTTTTATGTTAGTGAGGATCAGTCAGTATCTCTGTGGTCTATAGTGTAATGGTAAGGCTCCTTGTAATCGCATGCAGAAGACCCAAGTTCGATTCCTGTGCGGAGAGAACACTTTTATCGAGTGTCTCGGTTTTTCTGCTGGGATGTTGTCTCCCTCTCGGCCCAGACTGATCCTGTCTATCAGGATCGAAGCCCGCCTCCTAAATAATGTTAACAGGGTCGATGGCCGCCAAATATTATTTACATTTTTAGGAAGTTCACTGTCAATATCACCCTTTTTTGGAACATAATATATCTGTGCAACTTTAGGAGTCTCTCTAATGGACATGAAGGGAAGTCTTCATTTAAGTCAAACAAGACTCTACGTTCTTCTATTTTTCACTTACCTGAAGGCATCAGAGGGTCACATTCCTCGTCTCCGCCCAAGTGGCTGCCACCATCATAACCGCCACCTTCCCCACTATCCTTTGACTTGACATAGTCTAATCCACCATATCGGCCACTTCCAGAGCCGCTGGCAACACCTGGCCCTCCATTGCTCGTATATTCCTTTCTAGTTCCCTTCTGTCCTTGAGTGCTGTCCTCAGCGCTGGGGTTCAAGCCTCCCATTGTGTTTGTATCCACATCTGTCTCGTCCTGGTGGATGGACGGCTCCACCTTTGGTTTCGACAGTGAGTCACCGCTCAGGGTCAGTTGGCCGTTTTGGAACTTGTAACTGCCCGACATCTTTGGCTGAGAGACGATTGCGTGGCTATTTTATTCTGTCTCTGCTATGGGCTTCTTCTAGATGGTTCTAGTCTTGTTCCTATTCACCCATCTATACCCGTTCCTGAAAAAGATAAAGATATAGCATAATAAACTATTATGTATAATATACTTTTACAGCCTCCATCAAATGAATAAACGAGTTGACTTGCTTCTTCATCCATCCCTCGACCTAGGGACTCATCTATTCATCCATCCATCCATCCATTTCCCAATTGTTCAAGCTTTCAGAATTTTTGAAAGGTGAGATCCCTAAAGCCAGCCTTTTGGTTGTAAATACATGTAAAGTGTTACAACATTTTAAAAAAAACCCAGCACGGGAAGAAAAGTGAATATTAAAAAAATGTTCTTGTTATTGATTTTTTAAATTGTTGTTACTGTAGTTGCTGATGCAGCTCTTGTGCTGCTGCTTTTGCGCTGTTGCTGCTATTGCTGCTGTTGCTGATCGTGTCGTTGTTGGTGTTTTGTTGTTGTGGGTGGTGTTGTTTAAGTTATTATTATTGTTTTTTCCCTTGTTCATTGTGAGTGTTGTTATCAAGGTTTGTGTCGATATTTCGGTTGTTGGTCGTGTTGAGTTGAACAACAGTAGATCTATACCGATGATGTCATGGTTGAGCTCAAAACCCTCTCTTCGAAACATTTCACAAATTATCAATAAACAAAAGAATAATGCTTCGCAAAGCTCAATGAATGCCCATACTCTCTTCCAAGAAACGAAATGCTTTTACTTTTACTGCAAATACAGCTTTCCAGAAATTACGAAAGTTAGAAGAATAGCATGATATTGAAGTGAACAGAATAATTTGAAATTTTTTTGGTTGGGGAGGGGGGCTTGGCAACTTGTTGTGTTGCATAGGAGTAGAAGTAGATAATGCGGCAACGAATAGAAGGTAAAAAGGAATGGACTGTTGAGGACATCCCCTCCGTTAGCTGTTCGTTTAAAAAAAAGAACGGCAAGCAAAAAAAAACAACGAAACAAAAATAAACAAACAAACAAAACACTACGAAGAAAAACAATCAGCCAAAAAAAATAACAACAACAAAAAACAAAAAACAGAACAGCAACAACAAACAAGTTTTGTTGCCATTCTGAAGATATTATTGTTAGCGAGTCCCAGCCTCAGCTCCCCCCCCCCCCCCCTTTCCGGCTAAACCGGTGTCTGTGGTGTAGCGCTAAGACCGCAGATAACCTGAGCTCAAATCCTGAGAGAGGATAATTTTTATGGAGTATTTCGGGTTTTTCTACTGGTTTGCTCCTCAGCCCAGATTGACCTTGTGAAAGGCAGTGTCGGAATCCGCCTCCTAAATTATCTAAATTCTGTCTAACGCGGCGTAAAACGTTTACTCTCAGATTCGAAAACAATTATTTTCGGAGCAGCTTTTTTTCTCTATTGTTTCCTTGCATACGCACTAGTGAAAATAGCATTAGTGGGTTAGACTGTGGACAATAGATAAGGGATTTCCCCCGAGCTAATGTTCTAGTGAGAGCTGCGGCTCCAGTGTGTTGTAGGGTATTGTAAAAATGACAAGTGGCGTTTAACCTTAAATGTTATAAGTGGCTTTTAGTTTTGTGGGGGCTTTCTTTTAAGGCCCTGTGTTATCTTCTTCAGGTCTAAAAGTCGAGTGGAGAAGTTTTTTTTCTGTCCGTTATCTCCTACGACGGATAAACTACTGAATCGGAGAAGGAAGTTGATCGTTGCCATCCGTAGGGTAGTTTCTGAATCTGGTGGCATTGCCCTTGCTACTTAAATAGGTGATGTTCTCTGGTCTTGATTGACATTGTTTTGAATAGTCTGCTTTCTAAACAAACATTTAATTGATGTCCAAATAAAAGGTCACAGAACATGTTTTTCGACCCCACCGGAACGATTTTTATATGTAGTGGTAAAAGTCAGTGGAGCCCTAATAATTTGGAACACTTTTGCTTTAGTGCAGACATCCAGGGTCTTCTCTCTCTGTGGGCCAACATTTTGTGTCGTCCTGCAAGAGAGCTGCTTTCATAATTAAGTTGTTTTAGGGGGGGGGGTTGAGAGTTGAATTTGTATTTTCAACGTGCAAGTTTAGAAGGCTGCCCACTTTCACTCTGCCCAATAGATCTAAGCCAACGAGAGCAAAGTGTGGTGTTTCTCAGCCATAAAACGGAACCACTTTGGCCTGCTGAAATTAATTTCCCATATCGGAATCGAACTTGAGTGCTTTTCATGGTAATCACTACAGTAGCGATGCCAATCTAATGTAGCGTATTATTAATATGTTTACTTATTATGTCGCAAAGAGGACCTCAAAAAATTGCTTGTCTAAAGGTTGTAATAAGTCTTTTATTTTCTCTCTAGAAATGTATCGCTCAAAAAAGTATTTAAAATAAAAATACATTTGATTTATACAATAACTACTCGTACGTTTTTGTTTTAACATACGTTTTGTTATTAATTTCTTGTGGGTTTTTCTCTATTTCCTTATTATGAGCGTAGCCCTTACTGGACGTAAACAGCTTACGGTAACTTCTGTGTCCAGTGGATCATTACCCGCTCTGAAAAATTGACTGTATAGTGAAGTCAAGAGAAAGTAGATGGGTGGTTGCCGGGTGCTCTGGTGTGGTTTTCTCCTTCTTTCCTATCGAACATCTATCGTCTTTATCTCCCCTTCTTCTTTTTAAAAATGTTTGTTACTCTCTCGTAACACCTCTAATCTTCTGGCGCTCATGTGACCTGAATATTATGCAGTTGCAAGTGCCATAAAACCTCTACTAAAACTAAACTAAAGAGAGGGAGCGAAGAACGACGATATGAAAATGCACAATGCGTTTACTTGACATATTATTACTAACTTCAATCGTAGAATGGAAACAGTCTGATCTGATCAAAATCTATTGCAAGCAAAACAAAACAGGTCTTCAAAAATCTAGCATACAATTTTATTGATCCAATAGGAACTTCAGAGCACCTGTAACTATTAGCACCTTGTAGTATTTCCACTAATAGAAGTTTCAGGGTTTCTTTTCACTGTGCTGCTGAATTAGTTTTCCAACTACACGACAACGTAATGTGAATGTTGGTAGGGCTAAGAATACACTTATAAAACCCATGGTCACACACACACACACTCACAACACACACATACACACACACACACACACACACACACACACACACACATACAAAGAGGCACACGCTCAAGACTCTCACACACACAGACCCAACCACTTACCCCCCCCCCCCCCATATCAAGTATAATGTTTACATCTTTAAGCATTTGCGACTTTTCTGGGACCCTAAACAGGGCATATCTCGAACCCAGACATAAAATGGCCTCAATACAAGTGACTTATCTAAAGCGAATCAGTTAACCCAAGGTACGGTACATTTGTCATGCTTGTGTTTATGCCCGTGACGGTGTTCTGTACATGGTCTGCGTACGTGTACGATAACACGCAATCTCATCGGCACGTAGGCCCAATACTGAGAGTGTCTATTGCCATAGACTCTCTTCTCACGAGTTTACTGATCTGTTGACCAGTAACCTTGTCCAGTCAGAGAGAGAGAGAGAGAGAGAGAGAGAGAGAGAGAGAGAGAGAGAGAGAGACAGACAGACAGACAGACAGACAGACAGACAGACAGACAGACAGACAGACAGGCAGACAGACAAACAGAAACAATATACTAATATACCAGCTCCATCGTATTTACGTCCATATTTTTTGAGTTTCATTCTTTAATTGTTGTTCATTTAATTTTATGGCAAAGTGGGAACGCAGTCCAGTCTGAGGAAATCTAAGTTATCTTGTGGCTAGGGCTGAAGTAGATATGATAAAGAACGGAACTGACAATCAAAAGAAGCGTTTCAGAGTAGTGCAAGATAGACTTGTTTCTGGAGAGGGCCCTCACCTTCAAAGAATCCCGTGGTTTTCCAAGACAATGACGGTACCTTTTCGCATCTAGAACAAACCTGATATGCAAAACTATATGAAAACAAGAGCACTGCAACTTGAGAACACTGCGTAAACATGAACGTGCGTTCCTCTTGTTGTAAAAGAAAATGGAAAGAAAAGACTGTGTTAAAGCCTTTTGAGGTACCATGACAATGCAATGTGTGCCCGTCACCAGCACTGTTGCGAACAGTGTGCCATAGGCCAAATGAACTGTGCAATAAAATCCTTTTCTGTGCTCGATTCACTTCGCACGCGGTCACTTGTGACTTTTTACGCTCTCGCGTGAAAGAACTAGATCTAGATCTAGATCTAGTGCTGTGCGATTTGAAGGAAACAAGACTTCATCAGTCTCAAGATGTCAACTCGACTTGAAAAGCGAACAGTTCTCAGATCTCCGATCAGACAAATCGCTACCTCAGAGTTATAAGTTCTATCTCCCCAGTACCTAGTTTGGGACAAATTTGACGTAAACAATTTTGAGTTTCACAGTATGACGAAAAGTCCTTCGATTTTTGATAGAGCTGATTGTACGTTAAATGTTTTCTGATCTCACGGTCTTAGTAACGTAAAACAACATATAGAAGCTTGTAATTCCAAGGCAGCAAAATGTGGCTCAAATGTAAAGGGATCGTTTTTGTTTTGTTTAGTATAGGGTTTTACGGCGCTCGCAACTGCATAAGGTCATATGAGCGCGCGGGACACACCTAATACTTTTTCGTTGGTAGGAAATTTTGAATTTTGCCC